TACATTTTTCGTGATCTAGGTGTCTGTTTCGATACTCCTACTACTTTGTTTTGTGATAATCAATCTACTATTCGTCTAGCTGAGAATCCAGTTGCTCATGAGAGAACGAAACATATTGAAATTGATTGCCATATAATTCGTGATCGCATTCTTTCAGGTTTAATCAAGGTTATGCATGTTCATAGCGAGCATCAACTCGCTGATGTTTTCACCAAGTCTTTGTCTAGTGCTGTGTTTTCAGGTTTGATCTCCAAGCTGAATCGTTTGGACATCCACGCTCCAGCTTGCGGGGGGCTGTTGGAGGACTCGACAGCAAAGGAACAATAGTTTAGGCACTATATTGTAATATTTCATTATTTCTGTTATTTGTTTATTTGTTAAAACTGTATATATATTGTAAAAGGACAATGTAAATTTTTTTACCGGTTTAATAAGAAAAGTAGACCATTTTCTCACTCCAAGATTCAACATGTGGTACCGCTAGCTACAATAATGGTGCCGCGACTGCGGGGTTGGGAAAATGTACAACAAGCAAATTGTCTGCCATTTGGAGCAACACACTTTCTAGCTAACTAATATCCCGATGAATAGACGACATCCAACGACGAATTCCAGAGAATCCAAATATATACCCACATTCACTGGTCAAAAACACAACTCGATTCTTAGCCGCAGGTGATTTCTTGATGGGGTTTGTGGGTTTTTGTCTTGTCAATTGGGTGATCATAATGGGCATTACTAAGCAAGTTCGTCGCCTTGATCAATTCTATTCTACCAACGAGGCTTTTCTAACTTTTGGATTGTTGGTGGTGGAGAAAATTATTGGACTCATGCTTGTCGGGAAGGAAACTGCGTTCAAGCAGCGGCGGATTCAGGATGGAGTAAAGCATTGGGCCACAATTAGAAAAAGAGTTGGACAGGACTGGGACGTAACTCGATAAACACCGAAACAAATACCGAAAATCAAAAATTTACAAAGATATACTAGCTCTGGATGATCCAGAGGAGGGCTGAGCCGTAGCTCGGGGGATGCCCCCCCTAGATCCGCCGCTGCGTCCAAGTTGAAAAATATTTAGTTCGAGTGGTTGGGGAAGCTCGAGTATGCATAGTCGCGACTTGTTATATCATTTCGTTAAATATGCCTCTGCTCAAATGAAAATTAATCGGTTGGGTCATACTCTGCGATTAAATTGACTATTGGTACTTTGATGATTGTGATGACAACAAGTACTTAGATGATTGTGATGACAACAAGAATGACATATGTGAGTATGCGTATGATACCATTGCCTTACAAATAACTTACTACGGTCGTTTGGATGAGTTGTTGTGTAACGAGTTAATATAAAAGTGGAATTCCTTGGTATTTGTGAGTTATTTCACAATAACTACCCCTAAGAGGTATTGACAATAACTCATTGATGAGTTATTTCAAATTAACTCAAGTACAAATAACTCATCGCCAACTTTTGTAGACAAACGGGTTATTGCACCAAAATAACTCAAAATGAGTTATTTGGGTGCAAATAACTCATACGAATAACTCATCCAAACATCTAAAGGCCGTTTGGATGAGATGTTGTGTAACGAGTTAATATAAAAGTGGAATTCCTCACAAAATGAGAATGTGGTATTTGTGAGTTATTTCACAATAACTATTGACGATAAACTCATTAATGAGTTATTTCAAATTAAGTCAAGTACAAATAACTCATCACCAACTTTTGTAGACAAACGGGTTATTGCACCAAAATAACTCAAAATGAGTTATTTGGGTGCAAATTACTCATACGAATAACTCATCCAAACGACCCCTAAATTAATCAGATAAGGTTGCATGCAGCTAGAGGACCTGAACTTGCTGGCCTAAGATTGTAACAAGAACAATCTTCAAGGTACATAAAAACGATAATCGTACGTACAACCAATTAGCAATATATAATCTCCAGAGGTGAGACCTTAATATAATTCGTCATATACAAATCATAAATTAAAATCCGAAACTACGGTATGAAAAGAAACCGACATTCCAAAAACTAGACCATGGCATTTATGGAGAATTTATCTAGAGCAAGATCGACTTCTCGTATGTTCGACAATTAGAACATTGGTAAGCCAAAATCACAATTGGCTTCTACTAGGATTCTACAATCGTTGAAACTTGCATGAATTAATAAAAGTCCGTCCTTGTGATTCATATTAACAACAATCTCCAAGGATTCTACAGGTGAACCCACCGCCCACCACTTGTACGTTGAGTTGCGAATTGAAAGACCAGAGAGACTATTCCAAAACAAAAGGCTTTGCAATATGAATACGCCAACCAAATTTTGGTACAAGAAGAGTCGAGAAACTATTATTATATATGTGAACTATAATACACCCGGATCGAAAAGGTATTTTTTGTAGTTATATAATTAGGGCATATTTTGGCCTTCTAGTGCCTACTAATTAAAAATCTATATTTGATATAGCTTGAATGTCTGCACATTCAAACTCACAAGCCATCCAATTAATTGAATTTTTCCATGCAACACGCTTATCATTATTTAAATTAAACACTAATAAACAAGTCTAATCCGCTAGCTGATTATCGGATAAGTTTAGAATTAGATTACATGCTCCCGCCTAACCGGATTAGGATTCCAAAACCCAGCGAGGAAAAAGTAGTACTAGGCCGGTCAATTAGGATACCTTACAAGTTGTGTTTTTTCATCAACTCTATTTGATGTAATCGTCAACTCGAACTCGCCGTATTTTAAACAAGGTCGTGAACATCTCTGTAAGCTCGAAGAAGATGATGGTAGGTGATTGCTTGAACATTAAGTATTCGTTTTTCTTTATTGATTTTGGTCCTCCAATTCTGGTGGATCGAGTGGAATGTAATGATAAGCTTTCAAGGAGAAGCCCAAATAAATTCACCAACTTGAATGTGTAGCAAAAGAATACAAAATCCCAAATGAAGACAGGCGTAAAGGAAAAGGAAAAGGCTTCTCTCAAGTTCTTTTACCAATCAATTTGTCGTCACATAAATCATTGTTTCCATGAATCACAAATCTCCACAAGGAAGAAACTTCAATTAACTATTTTCTTTCGGAAGATAAAAGGACAAACTTTTTTTTTTTTTTTTTATCTTTATTGCACAATGCAAAACGTAAGATTGTTGATCCACTCTTAATTACCTCTTTTATGCTAAGGAATCAGCAACCACTATAAAATTGATTGCCCACTGAATGATATAAACAAATAATTAAATTAGTTAGTGCCCAGAATAAATGAATTTGGGGTTGATTGGATGAGACAATTGGACATAATTGTTTTAAAAATGAAACAATTCAATCAAATACCTTCATTTGGCAACACATAATGTGGATGTAATAATTGGAACGATAAAATTTAGATTGCCTCATTTTGCCTCATTTCAAATTGATAGGGGATGGGATAAGCATTGTAAAATGATATGTTTTTGTCAGGTAATTGTGAATTGAGGCAAATGAGAGGTAGTTGGATTAAATTGTCTCATTCATATATCCATCATCCAAACGACCGCTTGATTATTTTGGATGAGGATACGAAGCAAAAGAAAAAAGTGATTGTATTGTTCCGTATGCTTTACAATCATATAATTATTGCCAGTCAGAATGAAGAAAAGCAGGGTTGAAAAAGGTGTAATTCCGCGTACGCCTAGACACACCTAGGTGCTAGCTAGACGACAACAAAATGACCCACCTGGACCCTAGGCAAACCATTAGGCATTCAAACGCCTAGGCGCCGCCTAACTCTCCCTAGTCACTACCTAGGAGGAGTTAAGTGTGATTAACCGGTGTTAGAGGTCTAGCGGGGAAAGATAAATAATAAATAAATGTATTAAAATGTCCTAAAATGATGTCATCCTTATGTTCGGCTAGTTCCTTCCAACCACGTGTTATTCACATGCCTCCTTCCTCAATTGAAATTTAAAAAAATTAGGCCAACGAAACTCTTCGAAATGCCTTGTTTGGTTGGGGGAGGAAAAGTACAACATTTTGATATAAGACCATTTGAGTTTGCCTCTCTCTATATATGACAATTTAACTCGTCGAAAGTGTAGGTGTCAATTCGAACACATATTTTTCTAAAGTGAATCAACTAACTAACCTATAATCTCTAGTTTTAAAATAACCTCATTCAAGTGGTAATAAATGAAACAATAGACACGTACTTTAATTTTTAAGCATTTCATATAGTATTTACTATTTACACAAACAAGGGAATGGGGGAGGAAAAAAAAAGTCCCATTACATATTTACTTTCCAACACGCCAATGAATAAACACATAATAATATACGTTTTTTCTCTTTCTCGTACCCCTAATTGATAAGATTTGAAAAAGAAAGAAACCAACAGAAAAAAAAATAAAGGGAAAATAATATTAAGAAAAGCGGATAGATGGAGCGCTCAAAATGGGTGAAGATTCCGGCTCACGCCGCTGATGTTGGAGAAGAGCCCCGCCGCGTCCTGCCGGTACGGCCGCCGCCGTTGCTCTCCTTTCTTCACATACCGTTTCTGTTTCTCTCCTCCCTCTTTCAATTCCTTCTCTCCGCCCTTAATCTTATCTCCACCGCCGGCCGCCGCCGCCGGCTTCTTGGGAGCCAGGAACACGAACGAGTCCTTACCGTCGCTGTGGCTCCGGTAAAGCAGGTCCCTGAACTTCCACCTCTTGGAATCGTTCCCGGTGGACTTGCTCTTCTTGCGAATCTCCGGCGCCGACTCCTCCTCCTCCTTGCGCCCTCCACCGCCGCCGGCGGCGGGCTCCTTTCTAGGGTTCCACACGCAGTACGTCCCCTCCGGCAGGCCCTCCAATTCCTCCGAGGAATCCGTATCGCTACCGTCGCCCCCCTCCTCTTGTTTGAAGAGCTTCTTCAGCTGCGGGCGCCGACCGCGTACAGGCTTCGCGGGCGCCGGCGCCGGCGCCGCTTTAGAGTCGAAATTGGAGTCGAAGGGATGGAAATCTGGATGGTTCAGGAGCAAATCGGTGTTGAATAGCGGGTAGAGGGGCCTGATCTGGCCGTTGTAGAAGATCTCGTCGGCTGAAATTGGGGAAGCAACCGCCTCTCTGCCCACAACTGCGAATTCAAACTCCTCTTCTTCCTCGTCGTCGCTGCTGCTCTGTCCATGATGCGGCGTCGTTTCAGCTTCATCTTCTTCTTCTTCTTCTTCCTGGTTTTGGTCTGGCTCCTCCCATGAGTAGAAGTCGAGGGCAGAGTCGTCGCCGTCGCCGTCGCCGAGGGAGAGCTCCTGGACGACGCGGACGGCGATCTCGGCGAGGGTTTCGTCGGAGGAGGTGGAGTACGAATTGAAGCTGGGCGAAATCGGGGAGAAGCCGACGGCCGAGGTGGGTTGATGCATCTGGATTTCCCCGTCTGTAGAAAAAAGCTACAGAATTCGAATTATTGAGGTTACAGGGTGGAAGCTAGAATTGGGTATCTGTGTTTTCCAGGTGAGAAGGAGACAGATGGAGAGAAATGGTGGTTAGTTGAGATTTTGGGGAGCGGCTGGCGGAAAAGATGGGTTCTGGGCGTTCTGCTCTCTGTATATATGGTGGGGGAAAGGGAAGGAGGCGAAGCGGCAGAGAAGAGAAGTGAGAAACTGATGAGATGTGAAAATGAAGGATGTGGAAGGAAGGAAAATAAATATATAAATAAAAGCGAAAATAGAGAAAAGTGGGAAAACAGGAAAGGGAGATAAAGAAGGGGAAAGTGGTGAGTGGGGAGACATCCTTCTCCTTCCTTTCCTTTCAATCCCATTTCCAACGCGTTTTCCTTTCCATTGTTGCTAATGGAGGCAGGAGCGGGTTAGTGGGTAAAATTGTTTAGGCGAATTTTTTTAGGATTAGTTTAGTTAATTAGTGGTAGTGATCAATGGAGTGGAGTGAGAACTCAATATCGTATTCGCGTCGGACTAAGTACAGGTCAGGTTGAGTAATATTCATATGGGTATGAGACGAAGTGGGGCGGGGCGGGGCAGGCAGGTCGGAAGCAATATTCATGTCTCATCCAACACTATTGCGCGTCAGGGTAATACTCGCCCCCAAACAGGTCGGGTCGCATAAGTCAGGGTAGAAATCGCCATCACCGACTTGTAGGGATTATAATGTGAAGCTCCCTATATTTGAATTAGCTCAAGTTGTTTTTACGACCATATTTCGGGGAAAAAATTTCCATCTTCAGCACTTCTTTGAGTATGAAACCTAAACAGTTTTTGCAATCCTACTTATGTTAAATTGCTAATTTCATATTATTCACTTACAATTGCTAATTTCATATTATTCACTTACAATTGCATGTGCATTTAAATATACATATTATACCTACATTAATACTACTCACTTGCACTTCACTTCCATCTCCTTATTTGTAGGTAGAGGCGGCAATTTTGTATACAATCCACAAATCCATTTTAATTCATCCACTTAAATATCAAAGTAATCGAACCCACTTAAGTCCAATACATTTGATCCAAATCTAATAGATTGATGGATTGTTGCAAATCACATTTGGGTAAATATATATTATGTATTTTACAATTTGGTACCTAAAACTTACTTTTTTTAATGAAAAGCATCATTATAAAATTACATTTTTTGGTACCTATAATTTTTTATTATGCCATTTTAGTACATAAACATTTCAAACGTTACATATTGGTTCAATATTTAGATGCCACTTAGATCTATATCCAATCCACCCATTCATTTTATACCATCTATGATTTGTGGGAGCAAAATTCATCTCTCCTCCTGGTGTGTGGTGAGGAAAGTTTGCATTTGCAAGTCATGCATTCTCTGGCTAGTTTGAAATCGAAAACATAACCTTATGGTTATTTACGTCTGTAAATCAATGCTTTGCCTAATTTGCCGACAGCCTTTACAATTTGTTGATATTTTGTTGGGTTAAAGGCTTCTAGCATAATTGGGGGTATTTCTTGTCTACTTTCATATTCTCGCCATAAATCATTCGAATGAAACGCATTAAGAAAGTGGAGGGTGGTTTTTTACGTCGGTTATGTGATTAGCTGAATGGTATAATCTATTTTGCATTGAATTTATAGAAAGTATTAAATAAAACAGTTCATCCAATAAGCAGCTCCCTCTCCCCTCACTCCCTTTGGCATCCAAGGCCGCCATTTACAATTCCAGGCTTTACGTATCACAATTTAGGGGGAAAATCTCAAAATACACATGTTTTAAAAACAAAAAAAATTTCAAAACACACATTTTATATAAATTTTTCAAAATACACATGTTTGGGCATCACTGCAGTCGTCCACTACAGTAAATGCATTCACCGCGATAAATGAAAGCGGTAAATGCATCATCGCGGTTGACGACCGCCAAATAGCTTGTCCGGCTAAATTACACCAAAGGTCACTTGGTTTATAACAAAATTTTATGTTTGTCACAAAAATAAATATATACTAATTTGTTAGTTTTGATAGTTGAATTGATGACATGGCGAGTTAGGTTAGGTACGCGGCAAAACCTAAGCATTGCAGAATTGTCTTGGTCAGCTCCGACTTTTCCTGCAACAAGCGAAGTGATCCCTCATTTAGTCAGTCGGGTCGGTCTTCGTCCTTCCTATTTGTTTGGGCCTGGAAACGGGAAAATTCGTTGGAGTAGAGTAGATACGTATGTATATATGTATGGACAGGTGGCAGCTCAGTACTGGCAGGAAGAGTACGTATGTATAATCATTGGTCAGGCAAGTAGGGGTGGCAACAAAACCCGAAACCACGGGTACCCTATCCGACCCAATCCGGTCAACGCGGGTAAAACCCCCCGTGTTGGCGGGTTTCGGGCCGGGTTTGGGTTAAACCCGTTACACTTTTACCGGGTTGGGTTGAGTTTGGGTTTAGCGATACCCGATCTACGGATGCCTGTCCACACTTATTCCGTCGCCTACTCTCTCCAAACTCTTATATTCCGTCGCCCAATTCTAATATTCCTCAATCTAATTTATAATTTGTAGGGATAATTTGTGATTTGTTTGAATTTTCTAGATGAGTGTTTTATGTATGGATAATTTGTATGGAGAAATTGATGTTTGACTTTTATTTTGCTAGGAACTTGTTATTGTAAATTTTATACCACAAAAGTCCATGGATATCCATGAACCTGCAGGTACCCAGCAGGTTGAGTTGGGTTTGAGTTTTCCAAATCCATTGAATTTTATTTCGGATTTTTTTGACGGATAAACCCATGAATTTGGGTTTGAGTTTGACAAAACCCGACCCAACCCATTGCAATCTCAGTCTTCACATAATCACATGTATTTGGCTTTTGGGCAACGATAAATTAATTAATAATATACATTTTCTTTCGTTTTCTCTCTAGAAAAGCACTTACGGTAATATTTATTTATATATATATATATATAGCAGGAGGTAAATATTGGAAGAAGAATGCAAAGGTCAGTCTGGGTACTTTGCAGTCACATAAATGCCATGCACATATTATGCTTTCGGTCTTTGGGATGATTGGATTGGATTGGATTGGATTAGATTGGCGGTCACTTTCTCTTCTGGAAGTTTTATGTTTCTTATGGAATCGCTTTCTCTTCTAGATTGCCAAGATCCAATTTTCGCAAATCTTGTTTAAATATGGCGGACGTGGTCGAAGCGAAGAAAAGAAGATCACGGTTCGGAACGGGAAGAGATAAAAAAAAAGGGGGAAATCATTAAAATCGACTTTTAGTTATAAAAAAAATTGCACACATGGCAGCAACCAATTGGCTGGAACTACAAAATCAGTCATCCTAAATGTATGTTGCTCCCGGTAGGGGTGTGCAATGGTCTGGTCTGTACCGGACCACACCGGATCAAACCGTTGTTAAGACCGGACCGGACCAGACCGAGTAAAATGCGGTCCGATTCTTGGTCCTAATGAATTTTATAATTACTGAAGAAATGGTGGACCGAGCTCATATTTGGACCGGACCAAACCGGACCAAATAGACCAAATACAAGAATGGTCCGGTCCTTGGTCCTAACATGTCTTTCACTAATGGACCGCGGTTCTCATGAGTTTGGTCCGGTCCAGACCGAACCTAACCGTTGCACACCCCTAGCTCCCGGTAGGACTGCAAATCCGCCCAGATAAGCTGAGTTTTGACTTATTTTGAACTCGTTAATAAATTAGGCGAGCTCGACTCCCAGCTTATTTGTTAACATATTGACATTGTTATAAGAATCGAACCGAATCAACGGTTGGGCCAGTAAAATCGTCAAACCAGTTACGATAGCGGTCCGGTTTAGTGTTTGGACGGTTATTGATGAACCAAACATTTTTCACGGTTCAACATAAAACCAGATGAACCACCACGATTTAACTGGTCCACTGGTTCACTATTTAACCACAAATGTTTTTAAGAAAATACTTTAACGTAAACTAAGATAATAAATTCATGATTATTAATTTTATATATGCTTCTTCTACTCATTTTCCAACCTTGTTGCCGTTTTTCTGTGGTCCACTACCAACTGGCGCTATAATTTTTAACTTGAATTAAAAAAATTATGATTTCTTTTGTGAGACGGTATGAATGATTTATTAGATATTTTGGTGATAATATGGATTTGAAATTATTTATGGTCATTGATAACATCATTTTTAAATTAGCGTAATATACAAGTCTTAAATGTTATATATCACGAACGATTCTATCAATGGTTTACCAACGGTTAACCACTAAACCCTAAACCACTAACTTTTCCGGTTCAGCCTCCGGTCCGGTTCTAAAAACATAGCATATTGATTTGTGTTTCACTCGAGCTCTCACAAGCTTTACTTGAACTCGCACCTCATCGATTAGCTCGCGATAGAGCACCTCGAGCTAAGGTATCATATCATTTAGTTCGCTCATGTTATTTAATGATAATTAGTATACATGAGCAATTTATGGTTCATAATTTCTCTTATAAATTATAAATGAGATGTATCTGATCACGTGCTCAAATTCTTAATTAAGAATCAAATGGTGAGACGATATACAATCTAACAAACCTATAAATCATCAACAACGCAATGATCATGAGCTGTTAACCCCGATTCCCTCCTTAAGTTTCCAGTTGAGGTGGCTTGCTAGTCATACTGTCAAACTAGCTCACGAGTTGAACTCAACAAGCCACCGGGTCGATCGAGCTG